AGGGAGAACGAGCTACGCGTTGCCCCTTCACATACAAAAGAATTAGTTATTGGACTGCGGAGCTTCTTAGGGCCCTCTCTGACTCGGAGCAAAGTGGGAAATTAAAGGAGAAATTATTGATTATTTCAGAAGTGTCACCTAGTGATATTTTTCACCAACCATTTTTTATCATATCTTTCATATTGTTTAATCCCCCGATATAAATTTATAAGACTCACTCCCTTCATCAAATTTAGAGATAATTTGAGATGATTTAAATAAGTATATTTTTTAACTTTTTACAAAATATAAATTAAATTTAAAATGATGTGATAAAGAGATGATTTGACTTAAATAAAATAATATGACTTAAATAGAATAATGACTTTTTAACTTTTAATACACAAAAAGTTCTCCAATTAAAGAGCGGTGGGCCCACATGAAGATGTGGCAATACACCAGCACAATAGCTGGATCCATACTGACCAAAATAAACAAACAAACTAGGGGTGGGCGCGGGTCGATTGCGGCCACGAAACCTTCAATCCGCCATCCGTCCGCCAGATTGGCGGATTGGAAAAAATCAATCTGCATCCGTCCGCCAATCCGGCGGATGTGAATTGAGCGGATTGGCGGTTTGGCGGATGGATGCGAATCGGTTTGGCGGTTTGGAATTTTATAAATTTTTAACATAGTTCAACTTGTGCACTTTCTCAAAAAAAAAAAAAGAAAAGAGAAAATATTACAGTCAATGACTTAAAAAAGTATTACAATTACTGCATGCCTCATCCAACGAAAGAAAGTTTGAAACTTTAGAATATCACAATCACTGCATGCCTCATTCACATATTACAATCACAACATGCTTCATCCACATAAAATATTACAATCTGTGGTTCCTAAAATATAAAAACAATTCAAACCACCAAAATCATGAATAGAGGCACAATAGCTGGATCCATACTGACCAAAATAAACAAACAAACAAACAAAAAATATTAAAAAAATGTCAAAGTCGTAATCAAATCAACTAATTATTATTTAAATTTAAAAATTAAATTTATTTTTTTAATTTAATAATGTGACAATTAATTAAAATATTTAAAATAATACTCTTTATTCTATTTTTTATAATCATCAACCAATTAAGTCACTTACACATTATTAAATTTAAAAAATGAGTTAAAAAAATAGACTTATATATCATTTTCTCTGTTGTTATTTTTAAAATAAATTACATTAAGACATCATTAACTATTAATGAATAAGTATAGCAGGTGGGCTTAGATTAGACCGTATTTTTTAGGCCCATACGGCCCATTATGGATTCCATCTCAATGATTCAAATCGTTCATTTTGTAGACAACGTGTAAATCATTCATTACAAAAATCAAGTCGATTCGATAACCGTAGCCACGTTAATTTATTATATTTGTTTTCTAAAAAATGAATTGTCTAGTTTTCAAATAATATTTATTGTTCTTTTTTTTTTTTCAAATAAATGCCATAAAATAACATAGTTATAGTTATCGGATCGACTTGATTTTTTTTCATGGATGAAAAACACGCGTGATTTAAAACATGAATGGTTCGAATTATCGAGACGGGATCCCTAATGGGCCCCTTGGACCTAAACAACACGATCTAATCTACAAAATAGATTGAAGACAAGCTAATCCCTAATACATATAATTTACTTACTCTCAATAGAACAAGGATAGATCCAATCTAATATTTACAAACATGAATTTCATGTATCTAACAATTAAATCAATTAAACGCAATTAACTTTAACCTGGAAAAATTACTATTACAACATTTCCAATGATGATTGAAAAAATCACGAACCCAAAGGTCAAGTACCATCAAAACCTCTCACGATACCTAGCAAATTCATACCCTATTGCTTTGGATCCTTTGTGTTGTTTCTTTTACCATTTTTATCATTGGAATTGGAGACACCCATGTTGAATCCTCAACTCAATTCATCTCTTGAATCTTTTAGATTATTTTTTTAGCTATTTTAAACATAAAAAAATAAAATAAAATAAAAAATTAATAAGACAAAATATCGCATTCAAATCATAATCGTTTAATTTTTTCTCTTAGAAAAGTCAAAAAATCAAAAAATTTATCTCAAACGAGACTTTTTAACCTCATACTAAAATAGCCAAAAAGTCAAAAAAAATCAAAAAACCAAAAATCAACCCACATCTTAAACGAATGTTGTATTTGGTTGGAAGATTTGATGAGAGAAATAGAAAAAGAAAGTAAAATAAAAAGAAAATGAGAAAAAATGGATAGGATTCGAATTTCAAGTTATGTTTAGTTGAGTTAAGAATTAAAGAAAGAAAATAGCTAAGTAAAGTCAAAAGACAAAAAGTGAAATTACATTTCCCTCTCACTTTTTTTTCCTGTATTTTCCATTATAGCCCAAATAAAAAATAGAATTGCATTTCCTTTTCACTTTCCATTAGACTACATTTGGTTGGAAGATTTGATGTGGAAAATGAAATTAGAAAGAAAAAGAGAAAGAATTGATAGAATTTGAATTACAAGTTATGTTTGATTAAGTTAAAAAATAAAGAAAAAAAATAACCTAATTAAACGCAGAAAGTAAAAAGTAAGATTATATTTTCGTCACACTTTCTTTTCCTTTAATTTTCTATTAGAACCAAACAAAAAAGGAGAACGGGGGAGGGTGCCGTCAGGAAGGTGCTGTGACCATCAAAATCGGACCGTTTTGTTTATTTAAAAAAAAAAACAAACGAACAAACAAACAAATGAAACCAACGGCTTTTGAGCCACCGTTTTAATGTAGTGTAATTTTTAGGTTTAGGTTGATTTAGGAAAAAATTTATCTCAAAATCAATTTTTTGTTAAATTTTTTTAAGGGTAAATTGCACCGATAATTTTTATATTTTTTCTTTATGTTTTTAGTTCATGTAATTTTAACTAACTCTATTTGATATAATTTTGACTTTGTCCTAATTTGATTTAATTCATTATAATTGTTAATTGTTTTTAATAAAAAATACGCATACAAGCGATATGTATCACATTTTAAGAGCAAAGTTATAAACTTTATCAATTTACTAAGTTAACATCAACCAAACTCGTTTGGCACGTTGGTTTTAGGGCAAAAAAGGTTAAAATAGTCACAAAATGAAAAAATATGTTAAAAAGTCAGTAAGATAAAATGTCACGTCTAAATCATAATAATTTTACTTTTTTTTCTTACAAAAGTCAAAAAATTCAAAGAGCCTAACCTAAACGAGACTTTTTAACTCAAGTTAAAATAGACAAAAAGTCAAAAAGCCAACATACTTCCCAGACAAATAATTATTTTTCATCAAAAATCTAACATCATTTTCAATTGGAACAAATTGACATAATCAAAATTTACCCTAAATTTACCCTAAAGAACAAATTTACCCTAATTTTAGTTTTGTGTCAATTTGGCCCAATTGATAATGACGTTCAGCTTAGTTTTTACTAAAAATTTTTAATATTTAAGCAAATTTTTTAATTTTTTAGATACATCTAACATAAATACACTTAATAAGTATAATATCTGTGAATTTTTTTATAAAAAAAATCCACTAAATATAAAAAATACAAAAAAAAAATATGAAATTCAGTACATTTTTCGTATTCTTGTGTATTTATTCATTTTTAAAATATTTTTTTACTAATATTTTATTTTTTAAATACATCTGACTAAGGTACATCTAAAAATATATAAAAAATTGCTTAACTTTTAAAAATATTCACTAAAAATAAAAATAAAAATACAAAAGAACGAAAAACTCAATCAGAAAATTAAATTCAAAAAATTGAAATCAAAAACATTGGTTAAGATTTTTGATGAAAAAAAATATTAAGTTAGTTGATATTAACTCAATAAATTGATAAAGTTTATAAATTTGCTCTTAAAATGTGACATATGTCACTTATATGCACATTTTTTATAAAAAAAAAATATAAAACAATTATAATGAATTGAATCAAGTTGGGACAAAGTCAAGAATATATAGTCAGATCGAATCAATTAAAAATTACATGAACGAAAAACACAAAGACAAAATATAAGAACTATTCGTGCAATTTACCCTAAATTTTTTTGGACAAATTACACTGATGGTCTCTATATTTAACCCCATGTCATTTTGGTTCTTATGCTTTCAATTGACTTAACTTTAACTCTTAATTTTAGATTTTATTTCAATTTGGTCCAATTGACAATATGGTTAGTGTTTTTTAAAAAACAATTATCACTAAATTGATTAACATTAACTAATTGAGTTGAGCAAGTTTATAAATTTACCTTTAAAAATATAACAACATGACATTTATCTGCACATTTTCCATTAAAAAAATACTAAGAATTGTAATCAATTAGATCAAATTGAAACAAAATTATAAATTTAGTATCAAAATCAAGTCAATTGAAATTACAAAGACTAAAATGACATAAAAACCAAAGTATAGAAACTATTGTCATAATTTGTCCAAAATATTGATTTTGAGACATAAAAATATAATATATATATACACACACATATATATATTTAGTTCTCAAAAGGGGGTTGTTTTAATTTTTATTGTTTTCAAACAAACCAGTCCGTTTTGGCCGTGACAGCACCCGCCCTGCTCTTAACAAAGAGTGAGATTGCATTTCATTTCTCTTTTCATTTTTCTCATCAAATCTTCCTATCAAACACAGTCAAAGGAGATTGGAGGTATACAACTCCATAATCCACTGAACAAAGGAATAATTGAAGGTTGAAAACGAACTCTCCTTGATCTAGTCCATCTTAATCAACTATCAATAATCAAGAATTACAAGCAAAACTTTGTACGGTTTGTATGCTCTATATATATTTTTTTTTTCACGCTTTTAGAGAGAAAGATGAGAGTTAAATCAGATTTGAATTGTTTTTCACACATGTAATAGAATTTGGCTGCCTTAGACTGCCTGAACAAATCGCAAAAATGTTTCTAAATTTACCAATACAAGATAGAAAATAGCAGGATTTGTGCAGATTGGGCTGAATTGTAAACAGAAGAAATTGGAATTGCTGAAAAAATAAGGACAATGGAAACTAAAAAGGAATTATTGGAGACTCAAATCATGTGAAAAGAATACTATATATTGTTTGTTATTGATTTACCACTTGTAATTTCATACATGTAGACTCTTATTTTGGTTAGACTTTCAATTGTGCAGGTTACACTGACTCCATGAATGATCGAAGAACAAATCCAAAGATGGAAAATCTAAAGCACAAGCCTGCATCAGCTCCTTCAGGACATCCAGTTTGGCAGAAGGATAATTCTCCCTTCTTTTCCAAATGCAACAGCGTTCTTAGAAAGGCTGAAAGTCCCATCACAGTTGATTTTGCTAGTCCCTTCAGCAAGAGTTGACCAATGGTTGATTCCTTCACTGCCTGGGACTGACCATCGATTTCAGAACCGGGCAGTCCTTCCATGGCCTGCTCATGCTCAGATAAAGCTTCTTTAGTCATTAATATCTAAAAACATAAACATTGTTATGTTGTTTTAAATATCAAATCTCAGCATTTTCGGAAGGTGGCGCTAGAATAACAGAAGGGTTATTATTGCAAGTAATCAATAAAATTGAGTAAAACAAAACCATATAAAAGAAAAGGGAGTTTACTAATGTTCTTGTCCCGGCCATTCCCTTTTGCTATTTTCCTTCCTTTTTATCTTCTTTTCTTCATTCTTCATCTGTAAACCCTGCAGATCAGATAGGAATAAATGTTGAAATAAAATTGCAGATTTTTAGAGCATTCCCTAGATTACCAACAACTCACATCAACAACAACAATCACTATTTATGCTTATTTGCTATCAGTGATATGAGTTTTATCTACTAATCATATTTATCAAATGGAAAGATAAAACCACCTGTTGTTTCTTCAGAGTCCCCAAATAAAATTTTGTCTGTCTTAGACGACGAACCCTCTTGGTGGTAGTCTTGATGGCTATCATAACTATGATGGCATAGAAAGTACGAGCCTGTTCTTACATGATATTCGGATAAATCTCCAACATTCATGACATTGTGAAGAGAAGGATGGGCATTGTGTTGTTGAATACCTTTCTCTTCACACTCATCATACACAATCTGGACTCCAACTTCCTTTACCTGAAAAAGCTCATCATCAAGACTCGCAGAGAGATTCATTTTATCGCCACCTTCCATCAAAAGATGCCCTATTTCCCAATGGCTAAACCATATCATACTGTCGTCATTGGGAACGCCTTTGAACATTGGACTGTAGGTCCACTTCAGACCTTTCGTCTTATTGCTGATTTTGATATAATCAAATTGATAGTTTGTAAGGCTTATATCATTGGCAAATGCATAGACAATATATACATTCAAGGCTACGACCTTGAGATTAGGGACTAAAGGCACATTAAATGATATCGAGGACCCCTTTCTCTTATTGCTACACCAGCCTGGCACCTCATTCCCAGGAACAAATATGCTTATATACCACATTCATATAGTCCCTGTGCCATGGTATTCAAAATAACATTAACGATCAATTATGCAAACAACTATATATACACATATACACACACACACACACACACACAACCTGAAGTGCACCCTTCTTTCTTGTGCATGTCATGTTGTTCGCCAATTCCACCTCAAGGCTTCCCATGGATTCCAAATCAACTAGGCCCAAGTTGTTAATCATTTCTGTACCAGCATTTCCAATAGGCTCTAACTTGAACATCCCCTGAACCTCAACAAGTTTTTCACAATCACTTGAGTCCAAAATCAGAGATCTCAACAAGTTAGGAAGATTTGTTACCATTCCCAGCGAGCTACATCCATCTATATTCAACATTTCTAAACTCATTGGAAGTTCTGGCAGTGATTGGAGTCTAGTGCAACGAGATAACCTAAGTGATTGGAGCACATTAAGACCTTTGATGCTCTCCGGTAGGCTAGAAATTGGATTCTCACTAAGATTCAAATCTTGCAACACAGATAAGCTACCAAGACTTTTCATAAGATCATCATTTGACAGATTGCAATTTGAAAGGCTTAAGCTTACTAATGAGCCTGGTAAAGAAGCTAATGGAAAATAGATGGATTCTGTACTTTTTCTTGGTTTCAATACCCAAGACCAGAAGAGAGAACTCCATGATTTATCCTCACTAGTGGTAGTTGCTATTCTATTTATGGCAGTTCCATCTGCGTGAAGCACTGATAAATATTTCATCTTTCCCAACTCAGGCAACTGATCAAGCTTTGAGCAACCAGAGAGAATGAGTTTTTCAAGGGATTTAAGATGACCAATTTTGCTTGGAAGCTTCTCAAGATTTTTGCAACCTTTTAGATTCAAGAAACAAGCCTCCCTAATTTCCCTATTGATTCATGAACCTCTACCAAGTTTATGCAATCCTTAAGGATCAAATTCTCAAGATTAGGGAGTCCGTTGAAGTTAGGGGTATTGGTGAGGCCATAGGAATGACTGAGATTGAGGAATTTCAATAATCCCAGCAACTGTAATAAAAATACGAAAACAGTCTACAGAATTCATATGTTGGTCCTGAAAATAAAAGATCAGTAAAAGAAAAAAATATAAAAATAAATAAGTAATAATTAATCATACCTTGGTCCCCTTCCAAACTTGTTCCAAGCTACTATTGCGCAAGTCAAGAGCAATTAGGCTCTCTATAGAAAAATCAATCGGTATGGATTTGAGAGGAAATCCATGCCAACACAACCATCTTAATCTTTTAGGGAAGTCCTTGTACCCTCTCATGGTTTCTACATAATTGAGTTGCAGCAATCTAAGTTTGTGCATCCTTGCAAATGCATCAGTTTCCAACTCAACCTGATTTGAATTTCTTACACCAATGTTTATTGGGTTCCAGAAGAAGAAACCAAAACAATGTCGTTTCAGTGAGTTGCCTTGGTCTGTGAGCAATGATTTGTTACTAAGTTCTTCAAAGCGGGGTCGTTTTGCATTTTTAACACCAAAGCTTGTCATGGAACAATTATCTTCCCCTAACACATGCATGTCAAGGAAAAGACCTTCAATTGAATCTGTTCCCTGATAAGATAAAACATCTTGAATAAGAAAAGAACATCCATGAACCCAAAAAAAAATTAAATAGCTAAAAGAGTAGTATGTTTCTCACAGTTTTATCTCTCAAAACGTTAAAGGAATCATTGTTGTGCCATAATCTGCTGCGTTTACCCGGCTCCTTGGGTGATTCTTGGCGAACAATTTCTCTTCCCATGTCTCGAAGCAAGTGGTGCATCATCAATTTGTTTTGTTTATTAATCGTTAAGAGACATCTGTCAATGAGATTTTGAATCCCAACTGTTGGGTAGAAACCACATTCATCTAGGATTCCAATAGTGAAATCTTTGCCCTTTCCAATAAAGAAGCAAGAAATATGAAGGAATAGATTTTGGTCATGGTCATCTTGTAAAGAATCATAGCTTATTTTCAGCTTTTTTAGAATTTGAGAATCAGGAATAGCCGCCAATTTTTTTATTGCGTTTTCCCATATATTTAAGCTTTTCCCAGATAGAGAAGAACCCAAAACTTGAAGAGCTAAAGGAAGGCCTCCACAGTGTTGTACTACCCTTTTTGAATGCTCAACATAACAATCAATGGGATGGTCTTGTCCAAAGGCATGCCAACTGAAAAGCTCTAATGATTCATCATCATCAAATCTCTCCACCTTATGCATCATATCAACTTCATTAGCCTTTAAAAGTTGCTTGTGCCTGGTGGTTAAGATAATTTTACTTCCTGGATGAAACCAATTGCGCATTCCAATTATTGCATCAAACTGGTCCCGCTGATCCACATCATCAAGAACTACAAGAACTCTTTTGCAACCAATGGCATCTTTAATCTTAATGATTCCTTCATACTGCTTATTTTTTCCTTTTTCCTTTTTAAAATGTCCGAAAGAAGTTGCCTTTGTAAACGAATTAAACCATTGGATCGTTCTGAAATTTCTCTAACATTTGCAAGAAAGCTGCTAGCTTCAAATCTTTCAAAATTCAAATTATAAACAAATTTGGCAATGGTTGTCTTCCCTATTCCACCCATTCCATAAATCACTGCTATGCCAACATCAGTTGATTCATCCTGTAACCACGAACTAATGTTTTTGACTCGAGATCCTATTCCAATTAAGTAGGGAGCAACATTTAAGACTGTGCGGTTCAACTTATCCCCAATCACTTTGACAATTTTTTGGATAAATTTTGCCTCATGCCTACAAGTTGCAGATAAGTGGAAAGTAAAGCACGATAAGCATGCCGTGACTTAAAATAATACTAAACTACTTGCATAAATAATGGAAAATACCAAATAGTTTGTCCAAAGCTTGATAAGAAAATGCAATTACACAAAATGTGTGGTTGTGCAAGATAATTTTGAATAAAAGAACAAGACAATTTTTGAATTAAAGAATAGGCTAGCCAAGCAAGGAACGTTATAGAAAAAGCAGAATAGGATTTCTCTACTCGCTTAATTGTTGTGCTATTTTGGGAAAGACTTCAACAATCAGTCGAGAGAGAGAGAGAGAGAGAGAAGAAGAAGAAGAAGAAGAAGAAGAAGAAGAAGAAGAAGACGACTCCACTACAAATTAAATACACAACTGCCCACCAAAATAAAATGATATGCAATATTTATGCAAAAGGGCTATTCCTAAAAACTTTTACCACAATGGCAACTATCATCACAATAATCAACTTCTACCAGCACATGTTTTTCTTTAAAGTATATTAACATATATGTTGTAAACTTATATATGTTTGACGGTACCTCAGCCCCACTTTTTTGGTAGAGAGACTGATTCCCGTAACTCAAATCCACACAACCACAAACAAGTCTGAGGTGGGATAGCACTTGCCACAGCACTAGGTGGCGAACTCTTATTAAAACGAAATAATGAATATTACAGTTTTTAATAACTCAAAAACAGTTTCATAATGCATTACCAAAAATAAAGATATGAGGAAATTACCCATCAGCTTGATTCTGTAAGACCATCCCTGCTAGATCAGCAACTTCTCTAA